CTCTCTCTCTCTCTCTCATTAAACCTCATTTTCTGGCTTTCTCTTTTTCCCCAGCACTAACCACTGTCTAATGTTCTCACTTGTTTATTTTATTTTCTGTCTGTCTGTCTTCCCAACTAGAACATAAGCTCTGTGAGAACAAGTACCTGGCCTTTGTTATTTCTTATGTTTCCTTAAATTTTAGAACATGAATCAACACAAAACAAGTCCCTAATCATGTGTTGATGAGTGAATGATGAAATCTGAGAACAATTCCATCAGAGGAAACTGAGGCCTTGAGAGAACACTGACTTGCCCAAGGCCATGGAGACTGTAACTGACAGAGCTAGCACATAAACCTGTCTCTTAACATTTCCAAAGAAGGACCTATGGGACTGTAGAGTGAGTCCTCAATGTCATCAATAGGTCCTTGGACACTGACTTTAAAGAAACGACATATAGCGAAACTAATTTTATCATAGATTAATTGATATAAATAAGAGTCAAGTTCCTACAGCCTATTTCTGATCACAGAAACATCACCAAATTTATAAATAAAGACCCAAAGTATTGAAATAAACATGAACTCTACGTACATTTAAGAAAGATGAATAGAAACAAGTGAAGATAATTCTTTCCTAGCCCACTGATTCCAGTTCAGGGTCACAGGTGGCCAGAGCCTTTCCTAGCTCCTCAGAGCGCAAGACAGGACCCACCTGGGCAGGATGCCCTTCCATCTCAGGGGGCATCACCCCCATACCCACTGGGACAGTGTAGACTCTCATGTGCACATCTTTAGCATGTGGGAGGAAACCGATTGCCCAGAGATAAGCCATGTAGATAGACATGGTGAGAACATGCAAACTCCATGTGGACAGTGGCCAGGAATCATTTTTTTTTTCTCATTAATTTTATAATAAAATGAAGTTGAACAGAACACTATTCAGAGACCTGCTGTCCTGCACTACGCCACTTGGCAGAACCACTGCAGGCTGGAGTTGGCTCTTTCTGGAGTGGCCAGTCTTTCCAACTCCAACGTCAGTGAGTACACTTGGGGAGCCTGACATTTGTCATGGCATCAGTAGTTACATGATGGAAATTAGCAAAGAGAAACTGGCCAGGCTTCCTCTTTTGGAGACCCAGCTGGCCCACCCACTCACCTTTTGGATATTTGTGATTCAGATGTGCTGTGTTAGCTTTGATGATTGACTCTTACTAATCCTTATATTCTCAGAATCTTCCTTCTTCCTCCAGGCCCCCTTCCCCTGATCCAGCACTTTTCCTAACGCCCAGACAAGGAAGCTGGCAGACCAGCGCAGGAAGAGGAGCAGCCATTCCTCGGTGGGTTGCTTTCAGAACTGAGGCCCTGCATGGGCCATTGGATCTTTCCACATCATTAATTGGTCCTTATTCCTTATAGACTGACACACTGAGTTTCCCAGGATGATTTGAGAGGAGGGGGCACCGGGAGGGGGGTGTCGTCTTCTTAGCCCCACAGACCTCCTCTTTCATCATTAACCTTTCAGAACTAGAATTATCAAGGCAGGGGAGGGTATCTAGTAGATTTCCCACCTCACACCTTTCATCTGGTTTGGATTGGGGTGTATGTCCATCCGGGAACCCCAGGAAATTCTTGGGCACTGTTCAGAGGGACGGCAGGGGGTGTTTGGTCACAGGACCCCTGTTGTCCCAGAACCCTGTCCCCAACTCCACAGGAGTGCTAAGCTGTTTGTAAGCCAGGGTGGCAACAAATCTTTCAAGAGGCTGATTGAAAATGCTTTATAGCACACGGGGTTACAGACTCTAGCTGAACAAATGGGAAAATTAGTCTACCTTAAAAATATCCAAGGCAAGTCATTTCCTATCACCTTGTTTCTTAAATGTACTTAACACGCAAAAGCTGGGCTTCCCCAATATAGATGAGGGTCATCAGTTAAAATGGCAATGGGGAGATAAAAATCTTCCACTTTAATGGCCGCTCATAAAAGGATTCCGCCAGCCCTCTGTTTGGGAAGTGGGAGTTGGGACCAACAGCAGCAGTCATGAAGTCTTCTAGAATTTAACAGACTTCAACTCTTCCGCTGGACAACGAGCAGGACCTTACCCACGTCCACTACAAACCCTCTGCTCTCCACAGGCCTTCCGAGCTCTCACACCTTGGGTTTGCCTTTTTTTTTTTTTTTCTCCGATGAAACAAACGATTTGCCTTTCTAGCTCCTTTCTCCAAATTTTTAAACTGTTCCTTGCCCCATGAAGAGAGTTACTATTGACAACCAGCGTGACAGTGAGTCCACTTATTTTCTTGTATTCTTTTTCCTTTTCTGATCCCTTTTGCTCTTCTTTTCATTCCCTTTATTCGTTCATTACCTTCATTCACTCATTCATTTATTCCATTCCATTCCTTCATAAGGATTTATCAAATACTGTCTACTGATTAGGAACCAAGAATGTTAGTTCCTAGGGATACAGTAGTATACCAGTCAGGAATCTGGCCTGCAAAGAGGTTACTCATGGGAATGGGGGAACCACACAAATGCAAGCCGAGGGGAGAGAGCAGGGCATTGTGGGCAAGCACAGATCCTGCCCCTAAGAGGTAGAGAAGGCTGCATTTGACCTATTACCTGAAAGATGAGCAGGAGTTTGCAAGGCAAGTAAAAGGGAAGAGTGTACCAGGCAAGCAAACAACAGGTGCAAAGAAAGAACCTGAGGCACAAGGCAGTTCAACTTAGCAAAGGCGCTGAGTTAGTGCTGAAGGGTGGAAGGATGAGGAGATCAGTGGTTAGAGATGTGGTCGGAGAAATCAGCAAGGGCTAAATAACAGAAGGTCTAGCACATGATGGCAAGAAAGTGGAACTGGATCCAGAGAGCCATGAGAAGGTTGGAGCAGAGAGAGACATAATGAATAAAATGACAATAATGAAGGATTAACTGATTCTCTTATCACACGGTCACAGCCACCTTTGAACAGGGGCCTCTGAGTTCCTCAAGATGCCTGGTGTCCTTATCAAATGAGTAAGTCTGGCCTTCAAGTTGGTGAGTGGGGGTGGGAGGAAGGGGAGGATGGCCTGACGAGAAACCAGCCCCGGAACTTTAGATGCCGATGAGAATAAATGAAATCCCTGGGGCTCCCCGCAATTGGCTCTTTTTGAGGGGGGAGGCTGGACACTAAGATGCAGGGACTGTTGAACATTATGACATCCTCCCTGCACATTTTGGCAGGCGAATTAGTTCACAGGCCATGAATTTGAGTCCCTAAATTCTAAACCTTGGCTGGGGAAACAAAGTTTGATAAATGTGTCCAGCTCCTGGAATAAAGACCCAGAGCACAAGCAAACCATGAAGTTCAGCCTGTGTCACAGCAAGAGAAGCCCCAAAACACACACACACACACATCTCACATACACTGACACACACTCATGCACATACACACAAACACACACTTGCACATGCACACACACATTCACACATACACATACACTCTCTCACACACATACTCTCATGCACACACACTCTCCCTTTCTTTCCTTCAAATATCAGTTGCTAACATCAATTCCTAACATATTTTCTACCTAAAAGGTGATACAAGTGACCAAAAAGTGACCAAAATATGATGCACACTTAGGAAAGTTGGAGATGGGGTAGCTCCAAAAGAAAAAAATTAGTCATCAAGAAGAACCACAAATCCAAACATCACATTATAAAATGTTTCAGTCTTTTGTGGGTTTATAACATCTTCAAAACTCCTGTCCTATTTTTGTGGGCTTACAGGAAACCACTGCACATGCTTGAGGAAATGACAGAGAAGGGCTGGCCTTGAATTACTGGCCGTACACCTAGGTTACAGAGCTCAAGTCCTTTTCATGATGCATAAAGCCACACCAGAGGCCTGGTTTTTCTATGTTCCTGGCCCATCAGAACCTTTCTTTGGCATTCTTTCCCACCCCCTAGTTCAAGACTGGAATTAGGAGAGCCTCACTTTCAAATACATGCTAAATCTAAGAGGTATGAAACGTGTTAGAGGCGAATGAAGCGGAGAAGAGGCTATGTAAAGATTTCCCACAGGTGGAGACTCAAGACAGCAGCACCCTGAAATCCTGATCTTTTGTTGTGGAAAGAGTTCTTGGGGCAGCCGACACATGTATTTAAAAAAAATAATAATAAGTGAACAACATTCAAAATGGTGCCTTGCCGTGACCAACAACTCCCAGGAACTAGGCCCATCATCACAATCTGTCAAGAAAGCACCTCCTTGCATCTCCCTCCACCCCCCTACCAATCCCCAATGTCGTACCCGTGAGTGACATTCCAATGGTCATCTCTGTTGAGAGCACTGCCTCGGGCAGGGAGTTAAAAATAAATCTATCTCGGCAAAATGGGGACTTGTTCGTGGGGACGGAATTAAACTTCAGCGCTTCTTCCTTTTCTCAGTTGTACTTTTGTCCCTAGCTTCAGCTGGGAGAGAGTGCACACATTTAGTTGGGAGTTTATGAGTTCATATTTTATAATTAACGTTGCCAACAGGGGAGTTTGATTAATACCGAGCGGTGGATTTTGAGCAATGTTCCATACAAATTGCCAAATTTAGCAATAAAATAAATTGGTTATGTGCACATAATTAGTAGGATGACTACTTAAAATTCAAACCCGAATGTGAATAATTCCAAATCATCTGAGCCACAAATCCATTATTTGTATAGAAGGGGGAAAGTACAGCATTTGGCTTTTATTTTGCCCTCCACCACAATGTTATTCATCATCAGGCTGAGCATAATGAAACTTCTACAATGAGTTGGACAATATTTTAGAGCAACCCTGAAACACACGCATGAGAGTGCGCAGGCAGCCACAAAGGGAATGCCATGAAGATAAGAAATACTCCGCTGTGAATTTTCACCGCAAATGTAAAAATCTATGACAAACTTTTTCAGCAAACGCTGCATTACCTGTTCCTGACGCGCTGTCCATAAACCTCGGGCGCACAATTACCCAGTAGAGCCTTTCCCTTTAAATAGTCACGGTACCTTATTGTCACCCTGGACTTCTCCGAGCCTCTGCTGCAGTTCTTTAATTTCTTCTCCCAGGTGTTTATTTCGGTCCTGAGAGTCTCTCAACAGTTGTACAAGGTTCGC